ATGTTAGTTTTCTGGTGCAACTTCTTGGAAAACAGTCCGAGGACGTTTCTCAATATGTGCACTTGTGCTTTCTAATGTCCTCGTGAAACGACATCAGCTTCAGCCATAGTACTGCTCAAATTCACAAGAACAGCAGACATAGAACGGACAAAGTCCCTGGATGTTGTTCTCTCGCCTCCCTCTTTACCCAGCATGCATCAGCCATTGATAAGATTGACAGCTGTCCCAGCATGCACTGCAGCAGCTTTCAAGTATTAAGTTCAGAGTATCAAGTTAAAAGTTCTCTTTTCTGTTGCCATTGTTCAAAAAAAGTACGTTTTAAGATCATTTGAGGCGAGAACATTACACTTTTAAGCGTCACTAAAAGGCTCATTTACTGATTTAATGAGTAATAAATTTTTTTTTTCCCGAAGTTGAGAGGACCGCGGCAATCAGCGGAGCTCTGAGGGTAATGGCAGCCAGGTCTAATCCCAGCCCGTCTGCAGCAGCCCTCCCTCTCCATAGCCATGTGTGAAGAACCACTGGCTCTGATGGCGATATTTTTGTTTTATTTGGTAAAATGATCATTTGATTTGCGTTTATCTGACTGTGTTCATGGAAAAAAGTCAGAATTTATCATTATCTAAAGACTATTAATAACAGGAGGTGAAATGCAGTTCCAGACGAGCTCAGCGTGTGGTGACGTCATCAGTACGCTTCTGTTCCATTTAACCCATATTCATGCTGCATGCTCCTGTTCTCACCAAGTCCACACTTTCCTGTGTTCTTCTCAAGAACATACTTGGCGAGAACATGAGTCCGTACCCGCGTTTTCGTGAAATTAGAAACGGCCACTGTGACGCCAATAATTGTGTCAATCAATCTTTTCCATGGGCAAAAACATGACATGCGGATCAAAAACATAGGTTCCTACTTACATCTTAATGTGTTTTTTAACCCATGTCCATAAATAACATAAATTTACTGAAAGTTATTCATTTATTTATGATTGAATGTTTCCCTTTAATACAAGTATGTATTCACTCTTGTTTTCAACAAAATATTTAAATCAGCTGACTCTGATGGCAGCTACAGTTTGATTCGAAACATCGGATTGTATGAAGTCTAGCAATTTTATCTCATTGAGATCCATGGGGCTGGTCAGTCTGAACACGTTCGTCCACAGCTGTGCTGGCGTAGCTTTGACCGACGTGGAGCCTTGGTCTATTTCAGACTGATTTCCAAATGTGATGGGAAAGTCACAACTCAGACAGGGAAAGAGAGGGGGACAAAGTAATTCATCCGCTTTGGGAAAATACAAAGTAAATACTCTGAATAGCAAGGTAAACCGGACAGCTTCATATATGGCAAACAGAACAGACTGCACTGCAAAAATGATCTAGAAAATAAGTGGACTGTTCAGAAATTAAGTGTATTTACCCTTAATTGGAGTAGCTAAATAAGATGATTTGCCAATGGAATAAATATTTTTACTCCTAAAATAATATAATTAGATAATATACACTAGAAATAAGACAATGCAATTGTTTTTTCTTATTTTAAATGCTAATTGTCTTATTCCATTGGCAAAGTTTCTCACTTACCTCCTCCATTCAAGAAAAATGTAACTTATTTTAAGAAAAAATGACTTATTTAGATTTCAATTTCTTCCAGTGTGACATGAAAAATCAATAATACATTTTATTTAACAGTGTACTAAAGGGAAAACAGGGATCCTCCTTGAGCTTTTTTAGAGCAGCTATCACAGAAACACATTCACCAGCTGGCTGTTTATGCTTTATGATCTGAGACAAACTCTCCTGCGGATGCACGATGGGGCATAGTGGGAGCCTTTACTCAGCAGTGTGCCAGAAAAATATTGCATCTGAGCTTGTAGAGTCAGACGCAAGTGGTGTGTTCCCCTCTAATACCTTTCTTTTCTACAACCAAAACGAGAAATAAAAAAACAACCTGCATATCAGGCATTAAAGAATTAGATAGAGAGAGTGTGATTGGTGCAGCTGATTACCAGTAAGTGGGTTAAACCGACATCAAACTGATTTGTTACCGTTGTTTTCCAATGAAAGCATTTTGTTTTTGTACTGCATTAAAATGTGCAGCATAGAAAACATTCAGTTCAGCAAACAGTGGTAAAATAAAGATAAAAGGCTGCTGTTGACGTCTGTAATCATACAGCATGACCAAACTATCTTCAGAGTT